TATTTTTGAGTTAACAATTAAAGATTAATTTATTTAAAGTATAATAATATCAAACAGAAATTTTATTTCTTTAAAAAAAATCCTTTTAATAGATACATAAAAATTAAAATAAGATGAAGCGATGAGATGCTTTTAGCAGTAACAGTTTGAAGAGGATGAATGCATGCATGCCTAATGTTCTTCTGCCCACCCATTGAAGCTCATGATCATAAAAGTAAGGGTTGCAGCAATAAAATGTACATTTTTATTAATGGAGCATAGGGTTGGAAACTTGGGACACTATAATTGGGTTGAAGTTGAAGCCTTTTTTCCTATCTTGGGTAGGTAGAGGAAGTATATGAACAGTAATGACCATCTCTATAAGCAATTATTATGGCTATGGAGATTGGAGAAGTGCCTTCTTCCCCTCATTACTAGCCTCGTTCCAAATGATTATGCCTTTTTCCCGACATGTGGCGGCCACCCAATAAATATTTTTAATGTGTGATTGAAAAGATATAATAAATTTATAATATTTTAGAAAATACTCATAATAATAAATGATTAAATTGATAATTTATATATTAAATACAAATATATCCTCTTGTATAAAAAATGAATGAGTGTCTTGTTAAATATTATATATAATAAATTTTATTATATAATTTAATATTATTAAATATTATAATTTTTAATAAAATTTTATTATCAATCTTTAAACTCGTGTTAAAAAAATATTACTTACTTTGAAGGTTTGGGCAGCAATGAATTACTGACTTGCTAATTCATTGACTTTAGTCATTACTTTTTTAAAAAAAATCATAAATGATAAAAAAAAGTTGACACAGTTTTTTTAATTAATTATAGTTTACTAAAGACTAAAAATTGTGATCACGGTGATTTTATTCGACTTCTAATAAAAAAATACATGTTTTCTACACCAAAAGAATTAAAAATTAAATTTTTAAAAATATATAAAATAGTAAAGAAATTTTTAAACTTATTACATATCAATCCAACTTACCTACCTACTTTGCGTTCCATATGGTTTATTTTTATATACTTTATGGTCCCTTTAAATATTTTAATTTATCTCAAAATTTTTACTATTTAAAAAATTTAATATATATATATATATATATATTTGTTAATATCTTAAAATACACGTTGAAGGTGGGACCTAGATTATTATTCCGTTGAAGAGGATATATTAGTGGATTCAGTGAGAAATCATGACGGGGGACTTATGAACATAAAAAATTTGGCTTTCAAGAACACACACATAAACCGGGAATTTCGGAATAACGCTTTTTCTTATAACCCTTACATTTTAAAAGATTTTCTAACTGAACAGCGTATATAAATTAAGACATTAGCGCAAACCGAAGTTTCCATTAAAGTAATTAGAATATATATATATATATATAAAAGCAATGTAAATAGTTCAATGAAGGATGGGATATAGTATTATTGTAATTGACATATACCAACATGTGTCGTAACGTTGGCTACATTTTATATTACTCTGTAGGCAACTCCTAAGCGTATAAGGATAAACTTGAAAAAAAGAAGAAAAAAAGACAAAATCATAAATTATTTTATATACATGCAATAGCACGTTGACGGATTTTGTATAAATATATTGGATGTAAAATGGAGAACTTGAAAGAGATTCGTGCATGCATGGCAAGGACATATGAGTTCTATCTTCATTTGGGTGTCCATGTCATTCATAATACCAAAGTATTTCGATTATACCCACAAGCATGCCTCCACTTATTGAGATTTCCACGGCATAGGCAAACAAATTATCAAATGAAACGAAAAATGGTTTTGAATGTTTCTGGTTTAGACTTATTCGACCAAAAGTTCAATGAAATGTGACCCTTAATTGGGTACGCCACGATATTCACTTTTTAAGGCTGTAAGCTGTGCTAAATGTGGAAGGTAGACAAAAAGTGGCTACTAACTACATTGTACCAATGTTAATGAAAACTATATAGGGTAGTTGTGCCTCCCTGCCTCCTATAATAATGAATCTGAACCTGTACTTATTCACAATTAACTTCACTTTATCCTTTCTTTAAGAAAATCATTCACGTATCTGATAATTTTAATTAATAGTAAAAAGTGAATAAACAGACAAATTATAAAGAATAAAATGTAAGGTCCCGATTATTGTTTTGGCATGTAGATGTCAAAAGTAAATTACAGAGACAGAATGATTCTCTCCATTGATGAATATCTTTGAACGAATTAATGTTCACAGCAATGGTTGGGTATTGTGAGGAATGACAGAATGATGGATATCTTTGAAGGAACATAAAAGTAGTACTACTTCGTAGGCCAAAATGTTAATCCATCTAGCTTACCTTTATAGAGCTTGCTGTTCAAGTTCCAAAACTTCTAAATTCCTATTTCCAAAGCACCGAAACGAGAGTATCCATATCCAAGACCAAAGCTTCCTCAGCCATGGCGTGCTCTGTTCTGTTTAAGTTCGTGTGCCTTCAAAATAAAAAATTTCTAAGGCATAAATATTACATTTCTTTATATTTTTTTTATTTCTCTTAAAGATATTAATTTGAATAACATATTTGTTTATTATTATAATTTATATAAAACAACTTTTTCTTATTTGTTAAGTAACTGAATTAAAAAGAAAACAGTTTAAAATCAAGCATACTTAATTAAATATTGCAGAAAAGACTGTCCACGGTTACAACATCAATAGCTTGGATCTATATTAATTACATGTATATTTTTATCTAAAGAAATTTTACTTAAATTAAAATTTATTCACACTATAATAAAATAACTTTTCAGTGATTTTTTACCAACACAATTTACATTCGTGATTTCATTTAAAGAAGATGAAATATGCATCATTTGAACAAATTCAGCCGTTGATAAATAATATCAATAGTTAGAGAAAAGAAACGGTAACAGGAGTTGCTCGAAAATCTCAAAGAAAATAATTTAGGTGCAGTTTACTAATTATAATTAAAATTTTACTTTAGTAATTTTTATGATATTATATATTTAAAATTAAATTTTAATTGATAAACAATATTACAGTATCTAAATAATAACATAAATATTTTTCTAAATTAAAATTATTTGTTGTCATTCAAATCACATTTGGAAATAGATGCAATTCCACTGTTACAATGCTCACAATATATATTTTTAATTTTTGTTTAAATTTTTTTAAAACGAAAAAAATTAAGTAAATTTTAGTTTTCTTACTCTTAGTTTAATTTTTTATATTTTAATAGTTTTTTTGTAAAATACTATGTTTTGATTAAAAAAAATTGATAAATAAAAAAAGAGGCGGCGTGTCATTGACATAAGGAAATCCTGGAGAAACGAGATGGGGGTGCAACAGCCTGTAGTTTGGGCTATGGTAACTTTGTATATACATTTAAATAATGAGTTTCTAGAAGATTTCTGCATCCTAGGTCGAGAGGCATGGAATCAACTTGCATTTTTATGTCAATATTAAATTAATGCATGCATTCAATAATGGTGTATTGGGATTTAACCTCTACACAAATCTTAAATGCTGTTGAATTGAAAGTTGAAAGGAAGTTGTAAATCATTGTTGGGGATTCTTTAATTCTGGAAAAATGCAGATGGAGATTAAATTAACAAAGGTACTAAGAATGCATCTCCTTTTGGTAGTAAGCAGTAATTATTTAATGAGTTGGGTTCAAATGCAGATGGATAGTCCTACACTACACTGCTGAGGCAAAAGTGCAAAGGGAAACCAATTCCGGGTTTGTTGTGTACGGATATTTACTGCTGTTTCCTAATACCTCTCACCTTCGTTTCGATTGAAGGGTGAGGTGGCAATCGTGGAACTTGACGCACACACCAATGGGCCCCACTTACTCACAGTGACATTACGTACACCGATTGCTTCCTGTCTCAGCAAGCAGACAATAGAATCTCCCAACAAGACAACATGGTCAAAAAGACAATCCCTCCTTCCTCCTCCTCCTCCTTTCATTAGATGTCTTGGAATTAAGTTCAATCAATTCTTCTCAAATACCCAACAAATACATGTAAAATTTAAAGGAAACAAAATTAACAAAAAATAAAAAGAGAAAGGAATTAAAGAATGTGATAAAATAAGGATTAGAAGAAATATATATTACTACTAAGACGGGGTGCAGCTCCATTACCTTCCAACCACCACCCTAAACTCGTGTGCTTTGTATTATTTTCTTTTTCCTAATGTTATACTTATTTTACGAAATACTACTACTTAGAGTTAGAGGGAATAAAAAAATAAGATTAAGCATAAACTTTATGCTCTGCCACTGACTTTGACCTCTGCAAGCGAATTTCAAACTTCATTCAGACACATCTTACACGACTCTCGTAATTCATTGACATAACATAACTGCCTCTCCATCCCAACTCCTCAGAATCGATTATAGTTTATTAGTTAGTTCGTATATTCTATCTACAAATCACTATTGGCCACTGGCAGAATTAACCACATGATTGCTTTATCAAGGAATAATTTATTTGAACATTTTTAAAAAAATAATGTTTTATGAACTTGCGGTTTTTTAATTTTCTTAAAAAAAAGAACAATCACTCCAGGTTTAAGGTTACAGTCAATAAAGCATTTATTTATTTTCTACATGAACTAAAAAATTCTGTAAGTTTTAAAGGAGGGTACAAATTAAAAAAAAGAAAGTAGGACAGCGAGAAACAGTGTAAAGTGAGAGAAAGTAAACCAAATGAGAGGAAAAACAAGAAACGCTAGCGAATCTTTCTCGTGCTTTCTCTGCTTTTCATACCTCACAGCCCAATGCCATCGCTTTCCCTGCAAAAGCTAAACCAACGACCCTCCCCCTCAAACATTTTTCATCAGCACCGGTTAGAGACAAATTTATTTAAAAGGGAAATGTTTGGTTTACATCACTGACACAACAAAATATGTTCTTCTCGGATTTTAAAATATATTTTGGAGATATACTAAAAAAAAAAAAAACGATATAGAGATAATTAAAAATAATATCATATACAATAGTATTAATTTAATGTTTTGATGTTTAAATAATGGAACTCTATTATACTAGGGTCGTGTGGGAGAGGTGAGAAATCCCAACGAGCCATTGGGCCCCCCTCCATTTCACATCCTTGACACAAAATATCTCAAACTATACAAGAAATTACCCTTTTTTAAAAAAAATTCCGCCATCTATCCTTTGTATATGAACTGTACACTTTATTACCAAACCATCCACGCATTTTGAATCCAATATCAGGGAAACATTTTCATGACTCTTCGATCTATCCTTTTTCACATCATATTCATATCCTATTTGCTGACCACAAAAAATCCACAAACCCCACCCTCATCAAGGGAAAAACAAGAGAAAAAGACAGAGATCATTTCCACCATAAACCTCCATGTACAAAGATCTCCCTGCCTTCATTATCATGGCTGTATCTTCAAAATTCAGCCACAAAAACAACCTGCATTCAGGTGAGCTCTCTCCGTCATAGCCACAGAAACAGTGGGCCGTGAATCAAACAGTCAACTGCAAGCACTCCACCAATGGATTCAACTTTCGGCTATTTTCTCTGAATATTCAGATCAATATCCTTAATCATCATGATTCATGACAATATTTCAGCCTTGTTTTTACTTACAGCTACCGGTCTTCAATAAATATTCTACCCACAAAATCCCGGAACCTTTTCGAGTACAGCTTTGGATCAACAGCAGAGATTGATGAAGGGTCAACCTGTAAGGACTTGTAAGCATGCTCCAATTTCTTACTGATATCATAATCTTGCAAAATGTCGATAATCCCGAAATATAAAACAACATCGTATGTCTCCCCAGTGCGATAAGGGGTCAAATGGCTGATTCCAACAGTTGTGTATTGATCAAAGTCACTCCTTCGAACCATGCGCTCGGCTCTCGCAGGCATATTGGCACCTAATCTAATCAACGATTTCCTGAAACAAGAAAGATAGGTATAAGACCGAGTATATAGGATAAATTCTGAAAGAACAAAAATGCAGAGGAGGTATGAAAAATACATCTAAGGAGAAACAATCAACCTGGACCCTAGGAAATTATTGCCGAGCCAATATTAAATTAAGCGCACCAAAGTCTTTATAAAAAAATTAGGACCACAATCTGTATGTCCCCCCACCAAAAGAAATAACAACTGTTGCTTAATGCTCTATGCTCACCTACATGCATTTATTGTCATGGGCGTCGTCAATACAACAATCGGAAGAAAGATTAGGCATCTAAAATGCTGTCAACTCAACTATAGCATTGAAAAACCAGGCCAACAACATATTAGGCTTTCAAGGGAAAACGGGCTGTTTTCTATTTTTCACTAGGATGGCAATGTTTTACTAAACATAAGAACACGTCTTCTTAGGATATCTTTATGGAGAACAGAAACTGATTCAACAAATACCTTGTACCTACCCACTTAGACTAAGGATTTAAAATCAAAATATTTTATAAGGAAATGGGAATTGTTTTCACATACTGGCCAGATTTAACTCGATCCCTATCCTGTAGCTCAGCTTCAAGGAAGCGATAACAGCGCATGAACTTCTCACTCTGATAGGAATCGTGCTTTCCTGAAAAGAGGTAACAACAAAATAACTTTTAGTACTGTCGCATAAACATTATCTACAACATGCACTGAAGTAAAATATAGAGTAATACCATTACGCAAAAGAAACGGCGACAATCCCATTTTGTCATACGTATAATCATCACGAAAATGAAGGCCAACTAAAAGACTGTAATCCATAATTCCTTCAGCTTCCAAGAACTCACAATCCCGCTCAATCTGTCTGCACATAATATCAAGACAAGATAAAATCAACAGATACACACAACACTTCATCACTAAATAGCAGCCATGAAAGTGTTAACGCACAAACCAACTTACTTGATGAGATCCTTGAACCAATTTCTTTGCAGGCGAAACACAAAATTGAGATCCAGGTCCTTAAGGGTTGTAGTTTCATCAATTTCTTCTGCGGTCTTATCTGTTGTACGGCCATGTGAAGATCCTTTCAAGTCAAATCGTCTATGGATTGGATATTCTGAGCAGAAAAGATTTCCCATGACAATGAACCGAGTCTGGATTTCAATAACAGTAAACAAATTTTCAGGCACTGAGACGATTAGACCAACTGCCTAGAACAGCAATTGCTTATCTTTGAAGACATACCTTTTGGCCTCCAACTGGTTTGACACAGTGTACCCCGTAGAATTTTGTCACAAGTGAATTCTCATACTGAGAAACATGCTGGTAATAACTACGAAGCATCCGAAGAAGCACCTGAAAGTTAGGTCACCAAAGTTAAATGTCAATAAAGATGTCTACCACCAAGCCAAATACTTCTAGTTGAAGAGAACTTCATAGTTCATAGAAGAAGAAAAAATCAACAACTGATTTACAAATTTCAAAACTATAACGGCGGTAGTCCACTCCACAAAAACACATCTCTGTGAAAGATAAGAAGGAATTTAACTACCCATTGGGATTTAAAGCAGAATCTACGCCTAGCAGAAATAGAAACATTAAGCTTGGCCAATATATGCGGTTTGCTGACGCAAGTTCTAGAACTTATTCTTAGCACACTATTGTACAAGAAAAAAGTTCTCAAATTTAACAAAAGAGAAATACAGCAGAATATTTAACCTTGACTTCGGATTTCTTCACCGTCTTTATCATAAATCTGTCATCTTGGGTCAAGTAGAAGAAGCTTCCACTTTTCCCGGGAGACGAAAGCTCCCTGAGGGCATCATTCCCACATATAGCTAACATGTAATCAGCAGGATCTACCTGAAATAGCTTCCTCAATTGTCTGAAATACAAAATAGGATCCAATCAACAAAAAGCAGAAGACAGATAAAGATGCAATTAAACTTTTCAGTATTCTCCAAGGGTTGCGCACCAGGAAATCCGGACACAACCAAAACGTACATAAGCAATTATCAGTGAAGTGTTAGGGCTAAAAACATATACCGATTGGGTCTATATAGTATAAAATCATAAAACTAAACATAGAAAAAAGGTTATACCTAAAAACCATAGGGCAGTAGTCCTTCCAGCGAAACTCCACTGACTGATGTGGTGGCGTAATCTTGGATCCTTCAGCGGGGAACCTTGTCCAAAACTTCTCCTTGGGATCAAAATCACCAGGCTTAAGCTCTCGCGCTATGGAAGCTTCCTTCCCAACAGAGTACCTACAAAATAACACAAAAGCAAACCCCCTCAGCAATGAACACAATCAACTCCACCAATATTGCAGCAGATTTAAATTTACCTTATACCCAGTTGCAGATTAAGCATGAGCTCATAATTCTTATGGCCCTTAGATATAGTTTGTCCCGGCCTCTTCACCTCACCGGAAAAACAAGGGTTCCGGTGAAACTGCTTAACCTCTTTCCGATCTGACCCGCTCCCAATTCCATCCCTATACAACAACGACACATTATCGATTATATCACAAGTTATATCACCCGCTTCTCCCTCCGATTCCCATATACAAATCTTGGGAAAACTCTTCTCTGCGACGCTCCCTCTAGCACTGTCCACAGAAGACCTCTTCCTCATTGTGACAGTGAAATCATCACCACCCAAGAGAGAGCCATTCTTAGGGTAGAAAGTTCCATTGAGAAGGTGCATCTTAAGGTCCTTGTTCCAGCACCCAACGTAGGAACTCCCATCAGGCCAAGTGAAAACCCCTTGACCCTTAGGAACCCCATTCTCCCATTGCCCCTCGTACCGATTCCCATTCGCCCAAACAAGCTCACCCTTCCCACAAATAACACCGTTCTTCCAATCCCCAACGTACTCGTTCCCGTTCTTCCACACGTACCTCCCCTTCCCCTCCTGCAAGTTCCGCTTCCACGGCCCCTCGTAGAAATCCCCGTTGGCGTAATGCTTCTGCCCGTATCCGTGTTTCCTGTCTGAGCTCCATGAGCCGCGGTAAGTGTCGCCATCGGATCCGGTGAAGGTTCCGAATCCCTCCATTCGACCCGATTTGAAATCGCCCTCGTAGGTAGCACCCGAAGGCCACGAGAACTTGCCTTTTCCAGAAGCTTTTCCTTTCTTCCAATCACCCTCGTACATGCACCCATCCTTCCACAGGTACTTCCCCGATCCGTTGGGTACGCTACCCGAGAAGCTCCCCATGTAAATATCACCGTTGGGTAAGAGCTTCTCTGCGGTCCTATCAGCTTCTTCCGCTGGCGTCACTCTTCGGCTTCCGCCTTGTGACCGGCTACGCCCGGTTACCACCACCGGCGGAGGCTGAGATGCCTTCTCTGCGTCGGAGGTTTTGTTCTTGACGTCGCTTTGGTTTTGATCATCACACAGAAGTTGTTGGCGCATTTTCTGCTGCTTTGGAAGTAGGTTCCGCAATCAATGCATTTCCGGCGAGAACTGAGGACTCTCTCTCTCTCTCTCTCTCTCTCAGGTGCGCATTACTATTAAGAGCGGAGAGGGGAAGAAGAGTGAAAGAGGATCGATGACTCTGTTCTCTCTCTATAATTTTCTTGCTTTGTCTTTTGGTTTTAGTTTGAGTACCCTTTGTATTTTTGGGGAATTGGGTGGAGGCATGCCAACAGCTCAAAACAGAAGCCAAATGGATAGAGGTTAGAGAGAGAAAGTGAGGTTATGCTGTGCTGCTTCTACTCTTGCTATTTTAATTTCAATTTTACCCAAAACAAAAAAAAAAAAAAAATAGAGACAATAACAACAGGGTAGGAGTATTAGTTAATTAATTAGACGGCTTTGCCTAGGGAATGCTGCTAACTGTTAAATAGTAGTAAAGAGAAAACAGCCAGCTAAGGGGTGAGGCTCAGCTTTGGTTATTTTCAATAGGACGAATATACCCTCCTCCTTTCTGTAAATTCTCTCTTGTCGCAACGACAGCGTATCTGTTTCTCCTTCGGTTTCATCGTGACGTAACGGAATCGCCTAGGACTACGATTAATCATCTAATCTTCTTCGCTTTCTTTTTTTTTAGCACTTTCTATCTTTTCCGCCCAACAGAGGAGAGAAGACCATCTAATTTAAATTTATAAATATTCATCCAAACATAGGAAACTAATATTTTGTTTTGCTATCTAATGTATCAACTTATTATTGCTTGTTCGATGTCAGGTATATTTAGCAATTTTCCTATGAAAATAACATTCTGCCTTCGGTTTCTATTAATTTGTTATCGAATCTGATTCTCTCTCTGGTTTTTTACCCTCCCCTGAAGACGAAACAATTTTTATACTTTGAAAAACTAATTTTAAAAATAATTTTTTACCTTTTAGAAATTAAATCTCAGAAATATTTTATCATTCTATAAATCATTTAGTTTTCAGAAAGTGTATAGTAAAATAGGTGATATGATAAAAAAATATGAACTGTAAAAGAATATTATAAGAATAATAAAACTCAAATAAATTTATACAGCAATGAACCTATTTCCATCGTGTGGCTCATTTTCAGCTATTAGCTTTCATTCTGTCGGACTCATGCCTTAGGCTATTATGTACAATTTGGTTGGCAAAATTGAGGCACTTAAAATGACTGAAATATAACAGAAAAAAATTGGATGAGCAAACACAACTACTGAACATTTATCAGCCATCTTCATTTGGTAATTGGTGTCGTTCCATGAAACAATGATCTCTCTCTCTCCCTCTCTGTCTGGTTTTATGATTTTCATTAAAAGAGAAAAAAAAACACGTACGAATAAACTTGAGGACCTAAAAAAATTAACGTTCTTTTTCTTTTCAATCTACTTGATAATTAAGTTAGGATTCAAAATATGGATGGAAGTCTCGAAAATTCTATATTTCACTCGTAACTTTTCCTTTTGCCTTGTTAAATTCATGCTAGAATGCATGTGCTCATTTGTTTGCATTTTGATTTCCCTTTAATATGTTTTCGCTTCAAAAATACACATCAGACAAACACCTCTGTTTGTTTTTAACAAAACAAAAAAAGAAAAAATAAATAGTTAGTCCACACCGACTTATTCTAGCAAATTTTATTTTATTTAAAATAAATATTTACTCTATACAAATTATACTTTGATTTAGCTGAGTCTTTGTAACTCATTGATTCATTAAACATGCTTTAAGAGTTGTAGAAGGTTATATTGATCCAATAAGATGAAAATAGTATTAATACAAACACTTTAACATCCAAGTTAGTATGATAGCGTGAGATGTTCCTTTTTTACAATGCTCAAACGTATGAGAGTAACATTCGAATACAGCTACGAAATAATATCTGCTAATCATTACATATTCTATAAGCCTAATATGGGAGGTGTTGGATTTTCTAATTTCAAAGCTTAGAAGGCATTGTAGGATGCAGGCTGGCATGTAGTACTTGAGATGGTTCATTGGCCTCGTGAGTGATTTAAACAACTAAGATTGTAATAAGTCAAATTATACTAAACTTCGCAGGCTTTCGGCACATGTGGACTTGATAAATGTTTAGAGAAAGAGGCTAACAAAACATGTTTTTCTTTATTAACCTGAAAATATTACCTTTAACAAATCATAATATGTAACCTTTTTAAGGTCTAGTGAATGTAATAGAATAAGATATGAAGTCAGTATGACAAAAATAATGTAAATAAAAAGGTGAGTTAATAAATATATATAAGTTCATCAATCTAATTTGTAAATGATATTTTAAATAAATAAATCACTTAAACTTAAAATTTACTCTCTTTTCCAATCTTAAAGTAGATTTGCATTTAAAATCTTAAGAAATATCATCCAACATCATGAGATTTTATCTATAGCATCACTGCTCGTCAACCAATATCACTGGCATTCAAAATTCACAAGTTCATTCGTGGTTAATAACTTAATTTTTTAATAGTGGTTTTTAATAAAATAATTTGTTTAACACATACAACATTATGCATCTAAAAATATATTATATAACTGATTTTATTAAAAATGATAGAATTCAATGTACTTTAATTTATTCATATTGTTAAATGTTGTAATTTTTTATTCAAATATATTATATATAACTTTTTATTACGATTCTTCGTTTGCATGTGGGTGAGGATGAATTATATATCAACATTTTATAACTTTATATCCTACGGTTTAAATTTTGGAAAAACTTAATTGAAGCATGATTAAACATATTTAAACTTGATTAAAATATGTCTAGACTTCAAAATGTTCTTATGTTATATGCATGTTTATTTATTTGTGTAAACAAAATATTCAAGATATATTAGTTGTTATTTTTTATAAACAATTGTTTATTTATATGAGAAATTTAAATATAATATTTATATTGATCGAGTAATTAAAAAAATACTAAAAATAAAATAAAATCTCATTAAAAACATTTGATAAAATAACTAAACTGTTTTAATCTACGTTTTTCTCTTTATTTAAAAAAATAAAAACGTAATTAATATTTGAACTGATACAAGTTCGTCAATTTATGGTCAAATTTAATAGTAGTATTTTATCTATATTTTGGAATGGATTGCAATGACATGATAGAAAATATGAAAAGTAATTGATGAATCAAATCGCTTTTGACACATAAGATTAATGTGAGGGCAAATTTCTCTTATTCGTCAAAATCAATATTCATTCTTCGGAAACAAAAGCGTAATATATCCGATTACATGCACTTAAGACCGAACACAATCAATGGGTCCCAAAAGAATGGATCCACTTATGATAATTGTAATATTATTTATTATCACTTTTATTTAATGTTAATTATTAAGAGATGTATTTTAAAAAAATCATTTTTATAATCAAATAATGTATTTTAAAATTTAGCTCGTCTTTATATTAATAACACTATATATTTTTTAAAATAGTTTACTTTATTTTTCATCGTAAATATACTTGTTAAACACTAAATTTAATGAATAAAATTTTATTCAGAATTTATAAAAAGAAATAAACAAGTTATACAAAAATTAATTAAAGTTCGAAGTATTAAACTATATTTGATTCGAGTCATTTTACTTTTACTTATAAATAATTCCTATTTTTTCCTCTTATAAACAATTTCAGAAAACAATGATATTAAAAAAGTAAAAATAAATGGTTGAAACTGTGTGAAATATAATTTTCAAGCATGTTAAGCAGTAGTCTTCAAAGAAACAGTGACACACTTCCAAATTCTTATAGCTACCAAATCATTATTTACAGCATAACCATATGCACCGAATACATATATACAAACCATCTGCCTCACTGACTGCACCACGTTTCTTGAAGTTTGACATTCAGAATTATAATTATATATTCCTAAATTTTACTAATATTTAAATTTTTTAAGAATATAATTAAATAAATTATTTTCATATATTTTAAAAATATATATAATATATTAATTTTGATATACATGAACCATCAAGTAATTATAATAATTTTTTTAAAATTATAAACATAACTTATATAATATTTTTTTATTAAAACTGTTGATTTTAAAATAAAACCAATAAATAAAAATATTAAATGATACAATTATTACTGTAACTTTATATTGGTATATTTTGTTTTCTCTATTATGGTCACATATATGTATGGTATTATTTTTAAATGATAAAGTCTGCAAAAAGTTATACAAGTAAAATAATAATAATTAATCATTAGTTAATTTATTTTAATATCTAATATAAAAATTTAAAATATAAATAAATGTTAATTATAAAAACACATATTTATAAAAATTTATCTAAAACTTAATATGTATAATTTATATATACATAGATAACTTTTTTAACAGTCAATTGATTAAATTAAATTTAATAAAAAAATTATTAAGGATAGCAATTATTGTCAATATGATTCACTTATATTGTACTTTTTAAATGGTTATTCCATATTATTGAACATATTTTAATGAGAAAAATTACTAATCGTTGGATAAAAGGGAAAAAAATTCTGTACCTAAGCGTGGGAGAAGGGCATTTAAATTTCACGTCAACCATCATGATTTCCTTTTTTGTTTTTATATTTTTAAAGCTTTTTTATATTTTATTATGATTTAATTTGGCTGGATTTTCCAAATGATTTTTTATATGAAATAATTAAATATTAAAACAAATTTATTTTTCTCTGAAATTAAATTATATTTTATTTTAAAAATTGTCTCATTTAAACTTTTTAAAATTCAATAAATAAATAATTTTTAACATATAAAAATATTTGTATTTATTTTTATATTAAATTTTCTGCTTATAATATTTATTTATAAACTTATCCAAACTCAACCAAGATAATTTATTTCACAAACCAGAATGAGTTTGTTTTTATACTACTTCAATCAATTTAATTAATTAATGACTGTGTTTAAAATGAGTTTTTTTTAATAAAAAAATTATGTGCAAATATTACACTTCTAATTCTCTCTCTAAATCCTTACCCCCAAAGAGATTATGAATTGTTTAGCTTATTTCCATAAATCTAATTTATATTAGTAAGTTTATTTAAAATTAATGAAATAAAAGTAATTGGTCTGAGTAATAAATGATTTAATAAATTTAATTTATATTAGTGAATTTATTTAATATTAATGAAATAAAAGTATTAAATTTATGATTTAATTAATCAACAAATATTAATTTAAGTAACAAATGGTTTGATATCACTTAAATAAAATATTAAATTTAATTTTTTGTGTGTGAAAAAAAATTAATAATAAACTCATCTATTATATTCATATTAAATTAAATAAAAATAATAAAAAATTTATAATTCAATTATGATAGCATCGCATTAAAATTCAAAAT